CTGGGGGCCCCCCCCCCTCCCCCCCCCCCCCAGTGCACAAATTTTTGTGCACCGGGCCTCTAGTATATATATATAAAAAGATTCTTTTATTGCCTGCTATTTTGCTGTCCAAGTCCTACTACAGGTCGTAATGTCATCCAACCAAGAAAACACAGTCTCGGCTTTGAGTTAAAGCCTGTTGTGGGCTTGAATCTAATCAACTGTAGTTCATTCAGGCTGATTCCCTGTTATTTCAAATAGTGAGTGTGTAGGGATAGTCATTTATATTCCTGAGAGAGTACCTTTAAATTATATGTGAGGAGCACATTCTTACTTGGAAGCAGGTAGCATCGATGCATTATATATTCAATATAAGAGCAGACGGTTCTTTCAAATAACTGAAAATGTGAGACACTTCCAGTTACTACAGTTGGAGAGACAGATTCTGTGTCTACCTGTGTAAGGAACACATGCTTATACAAACTCATATCCAACACCACAATGTGCGCTATTCTGCCATCATTCTATTACAGATACGTGTGATAACATCAGGTGTTTTGTTTGTTTCATGAGTCATGTTACTGTTTACAATTCTTTATATTAATACAATTTTAATAAAATTTTTCCTAGTTGTATCCCCTGATTTACACCAGGCTATTTCAAAGCAAACCATATTATTTTTTTATGAAATGAGAGGAAAAATAAGAATATAAATTATATTGAAAGCATTACATTTGATAGGAGCACTGGGGCCAACAGAAGCATGTCTTACTTTAAGGACTAATGACAATGTATTCAGATTCCAGTATACAATGAAACAGCAAGTATTTAAGCGTTTACTTAGATGTAAGTATTTATTTAGATTTAGTTCTTATCTACAGAGCATTTTGTTTCCCTGTTTACTTTTTTAGTAAAATTCCACTGCAATTTACATTTCCAAATTCCAAATTCTCTTCTGAGCTACGTAGAGGCCTGAAGGCAATGAGGTGGAAGGCGAGGTTTAATTGTTGAGACAAAAAAAAATTCCCTAATCACAGAAAGTCACTGGATTTTCTCTCAACCACACAGCTCACTAGATAAACAGTTCAGTTCCCAGCTTCTTCTGGCTAGATCCATTTTACAGAACATGTTAGCATATGAAGCAGCTAACCTTTGGCATGGCCAGTTTTGTCTGTCCTTCACTAGCAGTAGCAATATATATATATATACACACACACAGACACACACACACACACACACACAATGGCAGACATGTGTACCAGTAGCAATATATATATATACATATACACACACACACACACATACACACACACGCACGCACACACACACACACACACACACACACAATGGCAGACATGTGTGTAAGAAAGCCCAGCTCTCTGCTTAACGCTATTTCAGTTTGGAGGCTCCAACCAATCAGAACATTTCCCCCAAGTGTTCAAATCACACGTCTAAAGCACAGGATGAAAACCAAGGCCCATTATCTGGTGAATGATTTTTTTTTTTTTGGATAAGAAATATAAAAGTTGGTTTAAAAAAGCTAACAAGGAAAAGTTATCTTGGAGAAAAAAATAAACAATAATTTAAACAAAGAAGTACTCTTTAAGGGCCAGTAACACTATACTTTGATCTTGAAGAATCAAAACCTACCTCCAACAAATACACAATCTATCTCCTTAGTCTATCATCACAGTGAACCAGGCAAACAGATCAAAATCAGAAAGCAAACAGGCTGAGCTCTCTCCCCCACTTCTCTGCCTGGAGGTACCCAGAGAGGGTGGGGCAATGACAAGGATCTCATGCTCTGGACTGTGGCTTGTGTGTTTCCCGTGAATAAGGAAAAGATCATGGTTCTGAATCACAAGGGTGACAGGGTGAGGAGAGAAAAGCCAAGACACCAAAGGAAACGTGCCAAGTGGGAAATTGTTCATCACTTTCCAGATATTAACTCCTAAGCAGTGAAGGTCACTCGCCTGATTCCTGAGGCAACAACAGAGCCGAGGCAGGCTGAGACTAGCTTCCTGTGGGACCAGCTAACTCATCACAGAGACAAGTTATGGGTCATATGCTTCCAGGAACAAGACACTGGAGCATGTCATCTGATGTACATCAGACCACTAAGTACTTTCTTATACTAATATTCATGCATTCTCTCGGCATACATTTTCTGAGTGCCTCCTATGTGCGAGGCTGGTATCATACACCAGGAATCCAATACATGATAAGACTACAGTCCCTTTCGCAAAGAGTTCATGGCACCGTGAAAGAGAGAAAGTCAGTGGGAAATCCCAGTATCACATGAAAACACTTAGTTATTTTCAGTTAGCTGAACTCTGTTTAGGCCTGATGCCCACTCCTAGTCTATAAACTCCTTTCTAAAGCCTTGTAGGGTAGCAACAAAGTAGGCATTGGTGAAGGGGACAGGTCAAGGCTGAGAACGAGACAGAAGTCAGCTGCTATACTCAGAAATGTCACCCATCTTTTCTGAGAAATGAAAAAAAAATAAGGGAACTACTTCTTTGTCCTCGGGTATTTGACCAACATTCTATAGACCAGTATTTCTCAAACTGGTGTTCTTGTCTACCAGAAATCTACAGACAAAATCTTTGAGTTCTGGGACAATTAAAACATTTTGTTTTCACTTTGATAATCAAAACTGCTGATATTGAGGTAAGCATATTTTAGATAATCTCATGACATTTATGACTGAACACTGCCATGTGACTTTGGCTCCCATGTTTGCATTTATAAGACAGCTGCTGCCAAGTGATCAGAGATTAACTTCAAAGCGTCAGGGCCAGGCCCTTAGGTCTGTGGCAAGGCCTTAATGGTAACTATGATAACAAGCACCCTTGTCTACTATTCATGCACAATTCTTTACCAACTGAAAACACAAACTTTTCTTTTGTAGCATTAATTTGCATAATGACGATGCTGAAGTAAGGCTAAGTAATGTATCTCTAAGTTGCCATAGGCTAAAGAGAAAACAAAATAGATGGGTTTGAAAAGTAAATGAGGTATTTATACTAAATAAAGCATAAAAGATGTCGCAATTCATTCTAAGAACAAATGTTTTACGATAGTTTACAAATAGAAAAGTGGCAGTAAGATCATCACAGAGTACATTTAAGGACCTATGTTCTCTTCGGCATTGTATTTAGGGGCGCACTATTGAATGAATTTGCTCATCAAAACAATGAATCGGCAGACAAAATTTATGCTATTTGTTAAGAAGGAAAAATGGTGACCACGATAATGCCACAGATGCCTGTGATGGGCCATTAGATGCAAAATCACAACAATCAAGTCAAACACAACTGAAACGAAAAGCCCAAATGTATCTTTCCCCTGACAATGGTCCCAACGTTGGTGATTTGGTCTCTGAGAAACCAAGTCTTCTCATTAGTTCAAGTGTGATTGATTTTTAAGTTTTTACTTAATTTATATGTCTCTTGGTTTTATAGTTTATAAAAGTACAGAGATAAAAAGGTTATGCATATTTTATATTTGTACAAATTTATGTTTTAATAAAATAAAAGTGGTTAAAGTCTACATTGTTGATCTGCCATATTTCTTTTCCTTATAGAGTGAGAAATGACAGATTTGGCTCCTAACAAATTTCCATGAGTTCACTCAGTGTCTGAAATAAACTAATAGGTTTGAGAAATATTGTTAAAGATACGATGACTCTTAGTAGGGGGACATTGGAAAGTTACATTAATATATTTATCCAGTTTTATCTTATATTGCATAGAGTTATGAGGACTCTGGCAGTCCTCTAATTTCTTTCTTTACTGCCTTCACCTTCAAGCCACTTCCGTGGCTTATAATGAGGATTAAGGTTATATTCAAATAACAGCTTATCATGTGAGCTACTCTGCATGGCTGTTGCTCCTCTCTGTGCCCTCTGGGGTACATCTCAGCACTTCCTCCATCACACTTTCCCACAGGGCCAGGCAGCTAGAACTTAAGTTCCTTTTGAAACATGAGTTTCTTGAGGGCAAAGCCCTTCCTTCCTCCTTTGCTTTTGTGTTCCCCAAGTGCCTACCACGGGGCTGTGCGCACAGCAGTGCTCAGTAAAATGCAAGCCAGGCACTGGATCAGTGAACCCCCAAAGGACAGACTCGGCTCCGAACAAATCTCCCTGAGTCCACTCAGTGTTTGCAAGAAACTATCTTGCCATCATTTTGTTGTTGTTGTTGTGGCAGAGAAAAAGACGATCAGGAAGCAGACCTCAGGTTATTAACTCAAACAGA